GTGTATTTGAAGGGTTAGTTGAGACGTGTGAAGTAGTAGGCGTAGAGTTATATGTTGGAAGTGGTTGCTAAGATAATGGGTGTAGTTTGTGAGGTAGTTGCTGGGTTTCTACATAGGGTTTGTCTTTATTGGATGTCGGTAATAGAGTCAAACTCTGATAATAGTGGCACTGAGGTGTTGACAGAAAATGTCTATATCAAGTGACATGTTTTACAAACATGCTGTTTTCCATCAAATGAAGACTGTACACTGAAAAAATTTGACACAAATATTTACTTTTGCCAAAAATGTAAACTGATCTCTTATAAAGTAATCGATTACAAACACAACATATATAACAGGGACCTTTTCTTATTTTATTTTTAGACTGTTCAATGCAAAAATCTACACCCCGGTCTGCCTGTTTTCTTTTCTCCTTGTAACTAAATGTTTCTTTTTAAGAGGTTCCATCTCACAATACTCAAATGCCGGAACAATAACTGCCTTGTAATCTTTTTCGTTTCACTTCTTTCAATTTTGCATGAACATAATATGAAGTCTTTGACAATTTAACTTACTTTGTGTAATTTTACAAATTTCTTCGACTAATGACTGTATGCCTTTGACACTTTTAACAAGTTTTATTTCACCAAACTAACTTTCATCATATCCCACAAGACACGATAAATCCTTTACTCTACTTCCTTGCTGAACTACACAACTTATACAGCATGTTCCAATCCGCGACACAAATCTTGTCACATCATGACAATGTTTTGAAATGCACATCTTCAACACAGATTTGCTCTCAGCCAAATTGCAACATAGTACACCATTGCTTACAGCGCAAACAGTAAGGTTTATCTCAGCTCCACTGATAGTCTCACTTTCAGGAAGATCCACTGGCATATGTCATTTCACACCCATCACATTGTACAGTGTATTCCCATTACTAACAAGGACAGATAAAGTTGCTGAAGTCCAGTATCCACATGGATTAATAACAGAGTAACACATTGCATAAACTGCTTTATAAAATAACTCAAATAGTAGGTGCGCTCTGATTGGCCGAGAGGCGCGTTTGCATGAGAGTATGTAAACATGGTTGTGACGTCAATTTGTTTTGCTTTTCGCGCGCTAATCACGCAAGCACGAATTTGAAAAAGGTTTTGAGTTGAAAAATTCGTCGACAAGTTTATTTACCCATTTCCTCGTCGGCTGAAACTTGGAAAATCTTCAGAAACAGGCTGTGTCAATTTTTTTCGCTTCAGCTGACATTTTAAGAGAGAAAAACCCGTATTTTGGAAAGCATCTTTTTTGGAAAACAGGGACTGATTACGCGACAAGCTTCGTGTACAAGACTTCGCGACTGGTAAGAATTTCTCTTTTAATCAATGCTCTAAACAAGAGAGTTTTGCTTTTTTTTTCTCGGGAAAGTTATTTCATAAAAGCAATAGAAAAGTTTTTTTCCTGTGTTTGCATATCCTGATGTAAACACTCGAGGGGCTGGGAGAATTCTCGACCCATAACTGTCTCGAATTCTCCCAACCCCTCTCGTGTTTATATCAGGCTATGCAAACACGGAAAACGTTTTCTATTGCTTAAATAGCGCAACACTGTTTACAAGAACATTGATATAAACTATTAACATTCGATATACTACAGTATTCAATAACACTGCTTGAACAAAGATCAACTTCAAAGTTGGCAATATTTGCGCCTTTAAGCTCATATATATCCTCATTACTACATGAATGTAGACTCTGCAAATATTGTACTAATTTATGCATGGGTGGTATTTCCAACAACACACATGTAACTTGACTATGACTGTTACCATACATATCTTTAGCATCAATCAACACCAATAATTCCCACGGTTAAAATGAATGAGTTGTAGTTCAGAGCCAAGGGTGTTTCAAGTGGCATACAGAGTAGTGATACCCCTCAATTCTGGCATCACCATGCAAGTATAACTTTCACTGTATTCAAGCTGGAAAAATCGCTCAAACACTGTAACCATTTCTAGCAATTCTGTTAACATTAACATAGATTCTTGTAAGCAATGACAGACCAGAATATAACTAGTTACCAACAGTCATTATTTGATCTGAGATCTGCTTAATTCTTCATATCCTACGAAAGCCGAATTCATTAATTGCTTTATTATTCATTCAAAATAATTCCTAGTTTAAAAGCATAGCTGAAACATGCTTACCTGCATCGATGTTAAGTTCATCTTCGATACTGTACGTTTAGCCTTGTCCAGCTCCGCAAATATTCTCCAAATAGCAGATGTTGCCCTCCGAGTTGTCTTCTTGCTGTTTTTGCTATGTTTTTAGTTATTATTTCGCCTAGTTCCAGCTGTAGTTCTTACTCTTGAAACGACTGAAATGTACGCCATTTTTTTTTCACAACCAAAACAACTCAACCTCGTCCCCAGGTCTTCTCGGTTAACGGTGCCTTAACCTGTAGCGGGCTGCATTTTTGACGTCATTTCCTCGCTAAACACAAAATTCTTCCAAATTTGGTCATCGGTAACTGGTTATGGTGAATTATGCATGTGCTTTTAGCCAATCAGAATTCGGGAAATATTTTGAATGAAAAATATTCCTTCCTTTCTTACTGCAAAAGTGCAATAGGCACGCAATACGTGCTAACTTAAACAAGGCATGTAAACAAGCCAAGGAGGCGAATATCTGCCATACGAAAGTCTTGTACAAGGTAAGAGGCATGTGGGAAAGAAAGCTCTGCTGGCAGGGTACTTTATCCTACTTTTACGATCTCAAAAATTAAACTGAATCTTCAGTATTTTTACCTAATCTAAATTGGAAGTCTGAAGTCCAGGGATGAAATCTATCAAAAATATTTGGAATATTAACGTCGGGTTTTGGTCATAATAAGACTGAGCGATTTTGTTCCGAGATGTCAAGAGCGTATAAAGGAGATGTTGCGCAAACATTTTGGGACTTGCAGCCTAATAAGATTAAAAGAAAGAGTACAAATACATTTTGGATTCGGTGAATAAACTTAAAAGGAATTGGCTTATGCTTGGTCGGTACTAAAGAAGCTTTTAAATAGACTCACGTGCGTGTTTGCTCGTGAGGGTAAAAGTCACGTCGTGGGTAAAGTGGAGATAAGATTTGTGATTCAAACAATGTGTGTTGTCACGTTGATGGTTTTGCTGGGTAATTCATTGCAGTATGTACTCTTTTGGTACAGGTCACTTGGCTTTTCAAAACACGCGAACTTTAAAGCTCAAAAGCCGCCTTCACAATTACGTTTTTCGCTGCCATTACATTCAAGGAAGGTCAAGCGTACTCCCCAAGATTCTATTAATGAATCGATTATTTGAAATGAAGCCGTTAGTCGTTCCCCTAACTGGTGTCAAATTCAAAGCGGCATTTCTGCATGCGTAATGAGCAGTGAATATTTTACGAGAACTTCTCTGTATTTCGTCAGATTAAAAATCTTTGAATGGATTAAGTTTCTTAGAAGACATGTACATCAAATTCAGGAAAACTGAGCTAGTAGAAATTTCATAACTGCCTCGCGTGTGAATTCACGGCTCATAACGCATGCAAGAATGCAGAGATCAATCTGAAATCTACAACTAGCAACGGATTCAACTTTCGAATAATAAATTCAATAAATGGATTCTTTGGGGGTACACTTGACCTGGTTTGACTGTAATCGCCAATACGATCACAAGCAATGAATCTTGAAACACAGAAACTCACAAAACGGATCGAGATCCACCAATCACAAATCACAAACCAAGACCTTGTGAACTCAGTGAAGTAAACTTGCGTTTCCTAATAGGTCCGCTAACATGATTCGCGTCTGACATTTTTTTTTTAGAAAGACAATTTTAATTGCTTTTGTCCTAAGAGGTCATCTCAATTTGCTGGGTTTTTTTATTATTTTCATGTCCATTTTCTTGTCCTTATTTTGTGATTGGTTTATATTGTAAGGTGGAGTGGATAATCCTATGAGGGACGATTTGGATTTCGTTTGATCCGAAATTTTTCAAAACAGCAGGAAGAAGTGGTTTGGATAAAATTTGGCGACGCTGTTTCGAGGGACGTGTCGATATATTGTTAAAGTATGTTATCGCGCCTTAAACTTACAAAAATGCATACACACCGTTCGCGGTAGGCCCACACTAGAAAATGACACTGAGCGTTTTCGGAAGGGGCTGGTCCGCGAACTCAAAGAAAAACAAGCGAAATTGTCAAGACATTCAATCAACTACTCATAGACGAAATGACAAATCGGAATATCTGGAACGTACGTGTAAAATGGATAAGATCGGCCGAGTTTGAAGAGAGGAATGTGTATCAAGTTTGACATTCGAAAGATTTGTATAGCTGGTAATCAGTGTGACAACAGTGATTTGGATATTCACAAGGCAGAAGACAAGAAGCTGCCTGTGTTCATAAAAATGTGTTCCAATGAAGGACGAGACGATTGTCAACAATTGAAACCAAAGGGGAGTCATGCTTCTTTTGTAACTACTGTTATGGCTGTAACAATTCTTCTTATGCTATCAATTTTGTTTAGCACTGTACTTGTTTTTGTATTACGCTTTGTGTTTTATGTAACGCGGTACATGCACGATGCTCGGCGTCGGGATTTTGCGTTGTCAGCAAGTTTTGTTTCCGAATTAGAGTGTTTTGATGGCAGTGAGGTGACAGGAAAACAGGGGCACCCAACGAGAATATAGTTTAAAACCACTTAAACATAGCATTGTTAAACGTGTTTTAGTATTTAAACGGTTGATATGGGCATATTTTTATCCCCTATAAATTTTTCATCTGTTCGGATTTCCTAGCTGAAAGTCTAGTGATCCGAAAATTATAGGGACCAAAACTTACCTGTTCGAAAATTTCAGCCAGAAAAAAGGCTCCCGAAAATTCTAGGTGACCTTTTTAGGGTAAAAATCCGTTGAAGATGGGCAATTTTACCTTTTTTTAGATGTTCGAAAATCCTAGGAGAGGCAAGCAAACAAGAAATTTTACAACAAATGTTCCGAAAATTCTAGATCTCAAATAGTCTTCCGAACAGATATTTTCCCGAAAATTGTCGTTGGGTGCCCCTGAGGAAAAGGCAATGACTCAATTGTACAGAAGCAAAATTGTGTTGTAGAGGAAATAAAAGAAGCTGAATTGGCATCTCGCCGTGTGTGGGAAAATTACTCATAACAGAACTTACAATTCCGTTGGTTTAAATGAGGTTAGTCAATTCTCTAGATGCGGTCGTGCAAATAGCAGACTACCGATGAAGAAAATAAAATCTTTGTTACAGAAAACACGGAAAGTGAGAGTTTTTGTATGGAAGGGTATTCGGAAAAATACACCATTGTGGTCTAAAATTCATTGTTACGTTAAAAATACAAATGGTTTAGACTTAAAGAGGTAAAGAAGTGACTGTAACAGTGTGAGGTTTTTACTTTAAGGGCAACTCCAAAATTAGTTCGTAAACGAGGGGAGGTGTAGAGGCTAAGTTGAAGTTGAATCACCGGGTTAATTTGGGCTTGGTATTGATATCGAGAAGAATCCAGGCCCTTCAGTTTAAGTAGATGCTACAAAAACAATTCAGGCTCCATACTGTCAAGTAAACGTTGCAGTATTTGTGGAAAATGCTGGACAACAATATGTTGCAATGAGTCTGTGCGCTTTAATTTACAGTAAGATAAGAAGGATTACTTCAGCTGATATGATTCAAATAGTGATTGTTGGTAATCAGTTATATTCTAGTCCGTCACTGCTGGCAAGAAAATCTATGTTGATGTTAACATAATTGCCAAGAATGGTTACAGTGTTTGAGGGATTTTTCCAGCTTGAATACAGTGAAATTTATACTTCTAACATGCATGGTGATGCAAGAATTGAGGGGTATCATGTCCTATGTGGCAATTTGGCCGAAAGCAAGTCTGTGTTGAAGATGTGCTTTTCAAAACATTGTCGTGAAGTGACAGGATTTTTGTTGTGGACTGGAACATACTGTGTGAAACTGCAATAAGCGTAAAAGTCTCTTGGCCTTTATTAACAACACCACAAACCAAATTCGAATGCAGATTTATTGCAACCGACGTGCTTGGTACTTGAAATAAAATGCGTGGTACAAAGAGCTCGAGTGTGCATACAAACGGCGTGAGTTGAAACTAAAACGGTAAAAGAGCAAAAAAGTTACAAGTTGCGACTGAGGTAAATTAGAGTAAAGAAATAACAAAACTGCAAAACGCGGACTGTGAAGTACACTTACATTGTTTCGGCCAGAGAAAACTGCTGTGAAGCGGACTGCGAATAACGCGAAGAGACTTGCAAGAAACTAAACAGAACTGCGCTAAGCGCGGACCAAAATCAACTGCAAACACTGTACTGCAAAACTACGATATGAAAAGTACCCTAGAACCTGCGGAAAATAAAACTATAGAAACTTAGAAAGGTGCTAATGAAGATGAAACAGCAAAGAAACGCTAACGAGGGCGCGAAAACTGACAGAAAGGAATAAACACCTAATTAACGCAAAAAACACTAAACAAAAGGACGAAAAGAAGTATAAACTAATTGGCGTACGCAAAGAAAAAACAAATTACACAAGAACGAATAATAGAAAAAATGTTACACTTGGATCTTACACTGTGTGGTTCCCCAAAGAAGTAGAATAAAGGATTAATTTTCTCTGGTGGGATGTGATGACAGTTGTTTAGCTGCAATAAGGCATGTTAAAAGTATCGTACGTGCAATACAACCACGCCTAAATATACGCTCCCACAGCGTCTTGTCTATGTTTGGTGAAAATGGCTTAGTCTAAATGGATGTGGCATGGGTGACAGTGACCTTCCAATCTCTACCAAATTTGTGTACCTTTTATATACCGAAAAAGTGCTGTGAGAAGTTATAGCCGTTCATAGCTCAGGCTTAACCATTTTCAGATACGAGTAGGTAAAAGAAAGGAGGAAGGGTAGTTCATTGCAACTGTATGAGTCACGGTTAAGTTATTTTAATGATAAGGCTAGAATTAATTATTGTAAACCTCCTTCAGTTTACCAACATAGCGGCCCCTCGAGGCCTCGTCAAAACTGTCATTCCTGTATCCTTGAGACCAAAGAGAATTCGAGCTTTAGAATATACATTCAGTATTTAGGACACCATTCTAAGACAACATGCCAAAAATCAGCCAAATCGATGAGGTACAGTGTCTGGCCGAAGTTCGAATTTTACAGAAAATCACTCTTAAAGCAAATATAAACACAAACATCCTCTGCTCGGAAATAGCTTGCTAATCGAGATGGGCAGAAGAAAACATACAGTAATTTATAACTAGGAAGAAATTAAGTAGAGGTAAGGAAACGGAAGACAGATCTATATAAATGACACAAGAAGATGGACTGAAGTTATTACAATTTATACAACGTTACAAAATATACAAACTTATTTTACATTTCTTGTCATCTTGCTTAGTTTATTAACTAAAGTAAGTGTCTCAACGTAAGTATCCCTCCAATTCTAAAATACCAAATCAAATCAAATCAAATATTTATTATGTAAGAATACATAATAGGAAACGTCAGAGGTTATCACTATCGAGGAGGTTCCCTACATAAATATAAAGTAAATTTTACTCTAGCTAATGGCTTTCTTAATTTGAATGAATGGTTTGATCTTGTTTTACCACAACAATTAAATTCAAAATAATCATTACAGTTAAGGCCATTAAGACCATGAATAGCCTTGTAGCACTCTAGCAAAGATAGATAAGACCTCCTTGATTGAAGACTGGACCACCCAAGCATTGCCAGTCTTTCTTCGTACGGAGAGTCCCTAGATGACATCGGGAGAGCGTATCTCGAGGTCCTACGTTGGACTCGTTCAAGGGCGTCAATGTTCTTCTGTAAATAGGGTGACCAGAGAGGGACAGCATATTCCAGAATGGGTATAACCAAGGCCTTGTACAGACGAGAAAAGGCTTCCTTGTTCCCTGAACCAATATTCCTTTTAAGGAAACCCACAATCTTGTTGGCTATATTTACTACTTTCTGCGTTTGGGTGTTCCAGGATAGATTAGAGGTCAAGATCCGATGTACAGAGGCTTTTAATTTGTGTATAGGAAACACTCGGATACTTTGAGGAATACTGTTCCAAATTCTTGCACGAAATCTACAAAATGAATATTTAAATCATTTGTCCTAGAATATTTTATGTAAAATCTACTTGTGAAAGGTCAAGAAATAAGTTAGTTAGTTAACTTCAATAACACCAAAGACAATTTCACATGGGAGCCCGAGAACTGAAATAATTTGGGTTTTGGCGAATCTACTTCAAAATCAAAAGTCAAAATCTTCTACACATGCACACATTTCTCACGCTCTACGTAAATAAAAACAATTATACCCTTAATCCCAAAGTAATTTTAAAGGATCACACTTAAAATACCGTTATTTATCCGCTGGAAATTGTCAGTTTTCAAAAGCTTAAACATTTGTACCAAAAGGGGTTAATTTCATATATCTTAATAGTAAATAGAACTCATGTTCACATACGATATGTTTGTTCTCTAGACTTGATGACGATGATGATGGGGCAGCTCCAGTTGGTTTCCTCGAATGCACAAGGGAGCCCACTCCATACGATCACCCGACCAATAGCAACATAAAGTTCTGGGATTTACCTGGAATAGGGACTCCAGACTACCCTGACCTAGATACATACTGCAACAAAGTACAGCTGGAGAAGTACCACACGTACCTAATTTTCACAACCACTCGATTCACCGCGAACGACTTTAAATTGGCACAAAAAGTGAGATTGATGAATAAGAAATTTTTCTTAATTCGCACAAAAATTGATGAAAATGTTCAAGCTGAGAAAAGGAGAAAGCGAACGCAAAAATTCGACGAGGAAGCAATGCTAGCAAGAATCCGAGAAAACGTTTTTGTGTCTCTCGGTAACCTGCTGACTGACGATCAAGATATATTTTTGATCAGCAACCATGACCCCGACAAGTGGGAATTTGCTAGACTGACCCAGGCCATTCTAGATTCATTGACGAGATACCAGCGAGAAAGCATGACCTTTGCCCTCGGGAAAGTCATAACAAGGTCGTCAGAAGATATTTTTCAAAGAAAAGTCCATGTTCTTAGACAACGCATATGGAAGGTTGCTACAGCATCTGGTGCCGTTGCTGCCATTCCAGTACCGGGACTGTCCTTTGCTGTTGACGCTGCCCTAATACTGAGGGAACTCAGCTTGTACAGAAGTCAGCTTGGCCTTCCTGAAATCGGATCTGCCGAATTTGTCCAGCTACACTTCGCCACCAAAGAAAAAGTACTCAGTGTCACCCTTACCACTGCTGCACAGCTGAGCCCATATTTTGCATCTTATGCTGCTTCTACAGCCATCGAGGAATTCGCTCGTTATATTCCCTTTATTGGTGTGGCCATAGCCAGTGGTATCTCGTTCAGTGCTACGTATTATGCCCTGAGTAAGCTCTTAACAAATGTTGAAGAAGTTGCGAAGTTATTTCTAAAGGAGGCTGCAAATGTGGTTGATTGACTTGCGTAGAAGTGATTCACACAATCTAAGTTCTCAAACTCCTGATCTGGCATATGAACTTGCATTAGATATACGAAACTCTGATCTTATTCGTCTCTGCATGGTCAAATTCCCCTTTTAGCCGTTATTGTTTGCAATCAGAGCTGCACTGCAGTCATCTGCAGGCCTGCAACTTGTAGTCAGGTTAGTCGACATACCTCAACTAAATTAGTTAAATATAGCGACAATAGTCTGAATAGCACTCCGTAAAGCTACGGTAAAGCGGGCATCAAATATCATGTGCAATTTGTTTTGCAGCATTAATGATGTTATGCTTTTTATATATACCACCCACAACCCACGTATGGGAGTAGCCGTCATTATAGAGTTCAATTTTAACGCTCATTGTTATTTTCTAAATAATAGTTTAACCTAATAAGAACCTACATTTTTCCAAGTTAGCCTAAAGAGGTTCTTACTTAAATGATAATTAGGAAAAATTTAGGCTATTTTGGTTCTTAAATAGGTTCTGGGGGTCTTATTTTCTAAAGAAGAAAATACATTGTAGCTACGAGTGTTCAGCTCATTCCTTAGGCAAAATCTGCATACCGTTACATTGCAGTTGGAGTAATAAGGCACCTATGTCTCCAAAGAGGATCCTGAATGTTAAATTATCTTATTTGCCCAAGTATACAGAATTCTATTTTAGATTTTAGACATAAATAAGACCCTTTTTTAAATTTTGGGCTTAACCGGTTCCTGTATAGAGGGGGCCTTACTGGCAACTTTTAGCCTAAAAGGTTCTTAAAAACCACGTTCCAAGTCGCGGGTTTTTACTGTATTTTTGTTGCTTACCTAAATGTAGCTATTCTCTTAGTCACCTTATTTGGTCTTATTTACATCATTTGTTTTAAGCTGCATTTTTTCCTACAAATTTCCTTTAGCTCACAATACTTGTTGCGTAGGGGGTGGGGGACAGGGGGTGGTGGTGTGAGGGTGCTGGGCTGGCAGTTCGACAGTTGTTTTCGTTTTGCCGTGGTAACCCTGGAATTTGTAGGCAGTTGATTCACTCCCAAGTAGCCTTATTTGTTTTGGGGTAATTTTGAATTTCCTCAAATCTACTCTGCATTGTTGGCAACCAATATTTGCTCACTACGTTCAGTTGCCAATTCTCACCTGGTTTGTCTAATCAGAGTACCAGCCCTCAAATCAACAAATTTTCAAGCCTCCCCAATGATGTGTAGTTATCAATAGCCAGCTTATCATCTAGTCTCATTTCAGTAGCTTTTCTGTCAGATTCATTTACCTGGTTAACATCCATATATAAATCTGTGGCAGCATGTAACTTGTCTGTTGAACATTTTGCTGGAAAGTAAAAAGCAATAAAACTGATTTACTGTTACTGTTGCTGTCAGTTACTGAAGGAATGTTGTTGACAGTGATTGGCATTACAACAACCTGTGTCACAGTGTGTGGTAGTCATCTTCATGCAGAAAGTCAAAGTGAGATATATCAACTCCATATTGAGTTTAAAAACTCTGGTTTGACCTGATTGATCAATTAACTAATGATGTTTTTGGCTGTCTGTCAGTCATGCCGTCATGTTATTGGCTATGAAGACTCTGAAATGTCATTTGTGTGTTTCGACCCGTGTCCAGTCATGCATGTCATTGTCAGTTTTGCTTGAGCCCATTACCTTATTATATGAAATTAACGCTCCATGAAATTAACACGAATCGTTAAAATTCGCGTTACTTGAAGTAGCGTTAATTTTGTTGAGCTTTAATTTCCGCGACGTTAATTAAGTGCAGCGTTAATTTCCGTGCTCTTAATTTCCAGTATCTTAACCCCAATTTTGGAACCTTGTCCAGACATTCTTGACACCTAAAAAACATTAACTACAAGCTTTCTTTCTTTCCATTTACCTTTTATTTTTCATCTTTCACAAAAGCAAGGGCGAAGGTTTACAATATTTCGACTTCATCTTCATCGTTGTCGCTATCAGAAGTGATGTCAATATCTTCTCCTTTGATTTCGCGTAATTAATCGCGTTCATTTTTTTCCTTTATTATGAAATTCTACCTCCTCTTTCGCGTTAATTTTCTTTATTCGAAAGTCGTTTTCCATTAAATTCGCGTTAATTTAAGTCGTGTTAATTTCCAATACCTTAATTTCATGGAGGGTTAATTTCCTATAATAAGGTAATAAGTGGCGCAGGGGTATGTTGCAGAACATCAAACATGCCCCGAACGCCGACGTTCATGTTGACTGCAGATCATGCAGACTGCGTAGACTGAGTGTTACTTTTGTTTACTTGTACGTTAATTTTTCTTGCTTGACATAAACAAATTCAGTAGTTCACTAGATTCCTGCTTCTTTTTGTTACACCTCTTTGCACCAAATGTGTACCGGCCATGGCTAAATGAAATAACCACGGGCTCATGCTAAATATAACAATCAGTCTGCATTGGCCGCATAATTATCAATATTACTGAAATGCCGATGACTCTCTGAAGTTTAGTGTTTAGGAAACTGGGAAAATCGGGCTTCCAGTTTGTCGAGTTATAAGTGACCCTAAATATGGAACCTGATTCATTCACGTTACTAATCCTAATCACTGAACTTTAGAGTCGCATTCTGCATTCAGCGCTCCTTCAACATTCTGCAAAAATACCCCTGCCGGTCAATACATACTTTGTATCACCCCATGCAAGGGAATCTGGATTCCAGAATCCAGAAATTTCTTGCTTGGGGATCCAAAATCCTAGAGTTTGGATTCCTACTAACGATTGGAATCTGGAATCAAATATGGAACCTGATTCATTCACGTTACTAATCCTAATCACTGAACTTTAGAGTCGCATTCTGCATTCAGCGCCCCTTCAACATTCTGCAAAAATACCCCTGCCGGTCAATACATACTTTGTATCACCCCATGCAAGGGAATCTGGATTCCAGAATCCAGAAATTTCTTGCTTGGGGATGCAAAATCCTAGAGTTTGGATTCCTACTAACGATTGGAATCTGGAATCAAAGTTCCACTGACAAAGAATCCAGAATCTGGTACCTGAAATGCGGAATCCATGGTGTGGAAGCCACAATCAAAGATTGTCTTGCCTTACAAGGCTCTTACACTGATGGGGTGGTTTGTATGGTGCCAGCAGTAATAATCACTGGCACCATTGCATGAGGACCCGCATACGACTTTTTTTTGTACACCACAGGACTTTGGCGTTGTTAAGGACGCTAGGGTTTGAGTGACAAGCAATAAACTTCCTACTGCGAAAAGCAATTAGTTTCTTTGCCGTTTGATCTAATCATCAGTGGTATTATTCGATAAAGCGTCACTTTTTTCAACAAGATTAAGGCGGCATCTGGCGATAGAGTAATTGAGAAGAGATTACAATTTAACATAAGCCAGAGATTTGCGTTCTTAGCTCACGACTTATCCAGAATAATCGGGCTTGGCCCACGACTCAAGCGTTGTCTTTCTGGTCTTTTCCAGTATTCAGTAAAATGTAGCGTAGTTCCATATTGTATTGAATGTACGTATTGAAGGTCGCAGAACTCAAATAGAATCGGGCGAATGTTGCTTGATAAAAGTGTTGATTCAAAATCATTATTATGTAAAACCCGCACTCCTTGAACACACGGCATACTACTCCTCGTAAAGGAAAGATGGATGCCCTGAAAGCAGATTGCAATCATTGATCTCCGAGGTTTTGTGTAGGCAGATTCAACGAATTTCTTTGGCGTGAGCTTGCTAAACTGCAGTTTCCGCAGTGAATCGCATGTCACGCACGCGCTGGTGTGTTGTGTTCGTATTTTTATGGCATCTCTGTGATGGAATCTTGTACATTCAACGCACTATGGTTAAAAATTTAACCAAAACAATGGAAATAATAATTGACTTTTTCTTTATATGGAATTAGTGTGACATTATGATTTGACCTCTGATCGAATACATGTAAAGCCGGCATTGCATTCTTGAGGTGAACGTAAAAGACGGTGTGTGCGTCTTTCGATTTATGACATTACGAGAAGAAGACGGCTTTCCTATGCCTTCAAAATGTTTCTGAGCCTAACGATATTAGGACAAACGTGTAAGTGGTAACATTCCTCGGCAGTCTGGTAGGCATTTTGATGTTGAAAACGTTAGATCTTCTAATCCGACTGCATTTTTTTGGTGACTATTATGCATGATCTGCTGCTAATGATGTAAAGCGTGTGCAAAAGGGCTACATAAAAAATTTCCGTTATTTAATGACGACGGGTTGCGGAATACTATTGTTAGTAGATGAAGATGTCATAGTAGAGGCAGAAAACACAGAGACCAAGCGATCAAATGGATTCGGTCGAATAGTGAAATCGTCATCCCGCCAAAACGTGTCCAAAGCCCGCCAAAAATTACCAAATCTCGCCTCTTCCGCTATTCAACTCTTTATTCATTCAAGAAAAAGCTATGTATTGCAGGATTTTAGAAAATTAGGTATGGGAGTGGAAATCATTGTTAACATGTTTCAAGGGTGACTATTTTTTTAAAAAAAGACAAGGCGTGCGGCGAGTTTTATTGTAATGCCATGGTGTTCTTAACTCCTAAGTGCGATTTTTAAAGCAACAGAAACACTAGGTGGCACGCCCGTGATTCTGTGAGTTTAGATACCACGGCATTATGAAATCACTTGCGTACCAAGTGGAAATTTAAAGGTTAATAAGTTTTAGCTTGAGTAGGCGAGTTTTATTGTAATGCCATGGTGTTCTAAACTCGTAAGTGCGATTTTTAAAGCAACAGAAACACTAGGTGGCACGCCCGTGATTCTGTGAGTTTAGATACCACGGCATTATGAAATCACTTGCGTACCAAGTGGAAATTTAAAGGTTAATATGTTTTAGCTTGAGTAAGCGAGTTTTATTGTAATGCCATGGTGTTCTAAACTCCTAAGTGCGATTTTTAAAGCAACAGAAACACTAGGTGGCACGCCCGTGATTCTGTGAGTTTAGATACCGCGGCATTATGAAATCACTTGTGCATGAAGTGGAAATTTAAAGTTTAATATGTTTAAGCCTGAGTAAGCGAGTTTTATTGTAATGCCATGGTGTTCTAAACTCCTAAGTGCGATTTTTAAAGCAACAGAAACACTAGGTGGCACGCCCGTGATTCTGTGAGTTTAGATACCCCGGCATTATGAAATCACTTGTGCATGAAGTGGAAATTTAAAGTTTAATATGTTTAAGCTTGAGCAAGCGAGTTTTATTGTAATGCCATGGTGTTCTAAACTCCTAAGTGCGATTTTTATCATGCGACAGAAACACTAGGTGGCACGCCCGTGATTCTGTGAGTTAGACACCACGGTATTATGAAATCACTTGCGTACAAAGTGGAAATTTAAGGTTAATAAGATTTAGTTTGAGTAAGCGAGTTTTATTGTAATGCCATGGTGTTCTAAACTCCTAAGTGCGATTTTTAAAGCAACAGAAACACTAGGTGGCACGCCCGTGATTCTGTGAGTTTAGACACCACGGCATTATGAAATCACTTGCGCTCCAATCGGAAATTTAAAGGTTAATACGATTTAGCTTGAGTAAGCGAGTTTTATTGTAATGCCATGGTGTTCTAAACTCCTAAGTGCGATTTTTAAAGCAACAGAAACACTAGGTGGCGCGCCCGTGATTCTGTGAGTTTAGACACCTCGGCATTATGAAATCACTTGCGCTCCAAGTGGAAATTTAAAGGTTAATACGATTTAGCTTGAGTAAGCGAGTTTTATTGTAATTCCATGGTGTTCCAAACTCCTAAGTGCGATTTTTAAAGCAACAGAAACACTAGGTGGCACGCCCGTGATTCTGTGAGTTTAGACACCTCGGCATTATGAAATCACTTGCGTACCAAGTGGAAATTTAAAGGTTAATATGTTTTAGCTTGAGTAAGCGAGTTTTATTGTAATGCCATGGTGTTCTAAACTCCTAAGTGCGATTTTTAAAGCAACGGAAACACTAGGTGGCACGCCCGTGATTCTGTAAGTTTAGATACCACGGCATTATGAAATCACTTGCGTACCAAGTGGAAATTTAAAGGTTAATATGTTTTAGCTTGAGTAAGCGAGTTTTATTGTAATGCCATGGTGTTCTAAACTCCTAAGTGCGATTTTTAAAGCAACGGAAACACTAGGTGGCACGCCCGTGATTCTGTGAGTTTAGACACCTCGGCATTATGAATGAAATCACTTGCGTACCAAGTGGAAATTTAAAGGTTAATATGTTTTAGCTTGAGTAAGCGAGTTTTATTGTAATGCCATGGTGTTCTAAACTCCTTAGTACGATTTTTAAAGCAACAGAAACATTAGGTGGCACGCGCGTGATTCTGTG